TTGGGACATAGATGATAGGCAAGCACTATGGCATTAACAAATAGTTTGGGAGCCTGGGGACATTTTTACACTGCATTGCAAAGTCCTCACAACAGTTCAAGCTAAGTTGCTGTGTCTTGGCTCAAGGTTGCTAAATTAAGAATTCTCACAGACACTTAAGTACTCTTAAGAAGGGGGCTAGAGTCACAGCAGGCACTGGCAGAACAGAAGTAGAGGGATTTGATCGCCATGGAAGTGTGCAACAAAGAGTATCTACTTTAACAATCATGAGAAATAAGTAAAGGACCCAGAAACTGTTCACTAGGTTTGAACCCATTTAAATCAACTCCAGTTTTCCTGTAATGCACAAACAGTTAATCACAAAAGAGGTAGCAGGGAAAAATTATTTTGATTCATTCCCAGAAATCCCAAGTTTCCCACCCCTCTGATGCTCTCTGAACAGTTAATGTTTGCCTACCACAGACAACTTACATACAAATCAAGAAACAAGTAGAGAAAGGTCAAAGTCATAGAATCATAGAATGGGCTGGAAGGGACCCTAAGGGTCATCCAGTTCAACCCCCTGCCATGGGCAGGGACACCTTCCACCAGAGCAGGTTTCTCCAAGCCGCATCCAACCCGGCCTTGAACAGGGATGGGGCAGCCACAGCTTCTCTGGACAACCTATGCCAGTGCCTCACTACCCTCACAGGGAAGAATTTCTTCCTGATATCTAATCTAAATCTACCCTCTTTCATCTTAAAGGCATTCCCCCTTGTCTTGTCCCTATATGCCTTTGTCAAAAATCCCTCTCCAGCTTTCTTGTTGCCCCTTTAGGCACCGGAAATTGCTCTTAAGATCTCCCCAGAGACATTTCAAGCCTGAACAAGACCAGCTCTCTCAGCCTGTCTCCATAGGAGAGGTGCTCCAGCCCTCCGAGCATCTTCATGGCCCTCCTCTAGACTTGCTCCAGCGGGTCCACATCCCTTCTCCAGAGCTACAGGCCATAAACCAGCTTTTGGAACAAGTTTTATTTTATAAAGGCACAAATACCAATCTTCTGCTTTACTTTTAATCTAAATATTGCTGGCTAGAAAGTCAGCTGATGGACTGTAAAACTGACAGCCTCATTACTAGTGCTTATATATTGCTTTTGCTCAGATGGAGTTTATGTTGGTCCAGCTGACTTCCCAAAATTGACATTTTTAATGATTCTATTTCGCCAGCATTTCATCACTGACCACTTGTCATGGTTTAAACCCTAGCCAGACAGCTTGTTCACTCGCTCCCAGTGAGTGGTGCTGGGCTGAGAGCAATTGAGGCCCCCCCCTCTCCCCGAGTTTCTCCCCTTCCCCGCTCCCAGAGGAACGGGGAGGAGGATCGAAAGAGTGCAACTCCTACGGGTTGAGACAAGAACAGTCCAGCAACCAATGTACAACACAAATCACCACCGCTACTATCAACTACAACAACGATAAGAGAAAATAACAAGGGAAGAGAATACGATACCACCGGCCAAGAAACGAGTCCCACCCGGAAGTCCGTGTCCTTCCGGGTAACTCCCAGTTATCCCCCACCCCGGGCAATACCTCCCTGGCTAGCCCAGGTCAGGTGTCCTGTCTCTGCTTCCTCACAGCTTCCCCTCCTCCCTGGCAGAGCATGAGCCTCACAAAGTCCTTAGTCAGAGTAAACATCACTTAGCAACAACCAAAAACATCGGCTTCACCAACACTGTTCCCAGGCTGGAAGTCAAAACACAGCACTGCACCAGCTACCAAGAAGGAGAAAAATGACTGCTACTGCTGAACCCAAGACACTACTACAAAAATCCAAACTGTCTCTTGCTCTGTCAAGCTGTTTGTGGATCAAGTTACTTGTTTTCTAGGGATTTGCAGTGTGTCAAGCCATCAGACTAAGCAAACTCAGTAACAACTGACCTGAGGTAGCTAGTCCGATATTTCTAGGCTCTTCTGTACTATTGATTTCAGCATAAAATGTCAAAATTCTGAAGGGTAGAGGAGAGATGCACCCCCAGGAGCAAGACATATATATGAAGTATTTTAAAAATGGAAAATGCCAACTGTAAAAGTTTGCTGCTTTAGATGGCGTACCCTCATCTTGTACTCTGTTGGGTACCATTATCTTTCTTCAGGTCTTCCTTTCCTATACTGTGTCCTAGGTCAAGCAGAACAACTTCCCCTTCTAAACCGTATTTCATGTGCACAAGATGGGAAATTCCTCACATCTCAGCACTATTTGGCAAAGTAAGGGAAGCACAGAGCTCTCCCCTAGATTGCACAGACACATGCCATAGGCTGAGGCAGGTGGGAGCACAGTGCCCCTGACCCAGCTGCATTCAGAACTGCAGCTCCCCCCTCCAGTGGTTATGAAGCTGCCTTACAGTCAAGTTGATTTTAGCTTTAGAAGAAAAGCACTTAAAAAAAATAGATGTCAGAGGAATGAATATCACTTGAAGGGTTTGAAAGATAAATAATCTGTGCATGTGTCCAGTAGATCTAAAGCTTTACAAGCCCTTCACAGTGAGTCTGGTCTCTTCAGGTGCTCAAGCAGATGGGCATGTCTTCTGACCTACTGTCACATTCAGGGGGTTTCTTAACAATCTGCTTCCTGCTGACATGAGCTATACACTTCTTCTACCCTTCCTGTTCTCCCTAATATATATCATAAACATGTAACCAGGTCAGGTTTGGACTCAGATATGGACACAGCAGTAGCCCAGCATGTGCCAATGCACCCAGGGCCAATGCACCAGGACAGAAACTCCCACCTGGCACAAACTGGAAAGAGTAGAAGGGGTACGCTACTGCCGCAGCATCTCAGAGAAAGGGAGTCCAGCACTACATGGAGACATGACAGCATCTCCCATTCCACATGCACTCCCAGCAGACAACACCTTTTGGGTTCCCTCAACCTAGGATATGCTCCTTGTTTGGCTTCAGATTTTTAGTGTGAGCTCATGCAAGCCCTTGGTTTTCTTTGTGCCTCTCAAACATAAATAATCTCTCTTCCTCATAGGAGGACTGTAGATGGGGAAGGAAACAGTACCAAAGGGCCATTAAGGTTGTCTAGATATAAAAAGAATATACAGCTCTTTGCATAAGTTTTTACCTTGTGGAATCAGAGGGGTGAGTCACAAGCAGAGAGACTGATCCCACCATGTCCCTTCATTTGTCACCTACTACATCATCGCACAGAAATCCCATCTAACTGCCAAAGATGAACTCAGCTCAGCCACAGCCTCATCCTCTCCCTCACAGCTGCCTCTACAGACTGCAACAGCTGAAAAATAAAAGGCAATCCAAACCATTTAAATCTAGTAACACATAACCCAGCCATGCACTTCCAGGCAATGCAGAAATTTGTGTCTGTCCAGTCAATCACATGCACGGCTTTGGTGCTCTCCAGCTGACCCAATTTGACAGGCTTCACAGGGGGCTCCTCCAATTTACATAAGGTTAAATAAAACATAAGTTAGGGAGAAAAAAATCCTTTTTGCCATAAAATCAATTTATTCCATGTCTGAAATTTTTTGAAAGATGGCCTTCCCAAGATCTAAGAAAGAGAGAAGGTAGTAGAGGATGAAGGTTGCAGGATAATGCAATATCAAACATCAGAAACTGAACCAGACCTGTATGTTCAGAAGCAGGTCTTTAAAACAGCTATTGCAAAGCGCACCCTCCAGCATGGCTCTATGCTAGAGCAAGGACTTTCATACAGATGCTGTTACACAAGGAGTGTTAAAGCTCCTCACCATTTCACAGCCCAGGCCTGCTTATTTTTTGTGCACAATTATTACAGCCTCTGCAGTCAGAGAGGTTTACTGCACACCAGGGACAGTTTCAGCCTCGTCACTGCTTTCTCACCTGCCTCATTTACCAACATATCTGATAGGCATATCCTATCCCAACCTTCTTCCTACAGCAGCAAAGGTAGTAAGACTGGAAACACAGCTATAACTCTAGTTCAGACCTGCATCAGCTATGAACAGAGCTGTGCCTGAGGAACAACCTCCTACATAGCCCCAGAGTTCATGGCAACAGCCAACGTCATAAACAAATAGCACCTTCAGCAGTCTCCAGACATCCTTTCAGACAAACCAGCAATGCCCTGCCCCCTCTTCCAGAACAGAACTACTGTCAAGAGCCCTCCAGGGACTCAAGCTGATGGCATTACATCAGCAACCCTACCTAGGATATTAAATGCACAAAGACTCCTGAAAAGAGATATCAGTGCCATCTTCCTCTATGGTGTGCAATGTGATGTCTGGTGTGCGGCAACATACCCCAGAGTCTGCAAAACACTGCCTCTCTGCCTCTCACTGCAAAACACAAAGCCACACCAGCTTTGACTTGCATCAGAGGGACATCACACATATAAACACTGATTAGCTCTTTATAAGTGGAATAAATTAGTCCAGTCATTAAACACAGTGCCTATATGTACAGTGGGGATAAACTGTAAAAAGCTTTATAGAGGCTCTGAAGGTTTGTCTTGCTTAACACTGCCAGCATAGGGTCCCATGGCTGGACCATACAGTCCTTAAAAATGCCAGAAAAGTGGGGCTTACAAAGATGTTGCTGAGATAGCAAACAGACTGATCAGCAATTCCCCTGTTGCTTTATCCTCAGAAGATGTGTCCTTGAACTAACTCATCTCAGGCAAAGGGAACTGAAATTTCCGCTGGACCCTCACCTGAGAAGTTCTTTATTTCTCACCCATTAAGCAAGACAACACTAAGCTCTGGGAACAAAGGAGCAGACCTGGAGTATTAAGAACAACTCTCCCCAAAATGAAAACTCAGATCACACTGCCTAGGACCCATCCCAGTTTGATCAGCTGCCACTAGTGGATGGGCTTTCCTCAGAAATGAGCCCAGTCTGTGTTTAGCTTGAGAGCCAACCCATGAGACTTTCTGGCACTAGGGACTGTCTCATGCAAAGTGAAGAGCAGGAGACATATCCTCTTCTAAGGGTGAAGGAAAAAGGGGCATTTTGTCTTACCCAGACCCTGGTTCTGCTGCTCCCACTCAATGGTGTCAGGAACCTGGTAGGACACCCCAGCCAGCTGGGCCACAGGGTTTTCCAGTCCAGCTATGGGCTCCTGGGAGGTCTCTCCTGGAAGCATGAAACCTGGCAGCTCCGTGTCACCCTCCATGCTTTCATCCATCAAATCTATGTCTTTGTCCTCCTCATCTTCCTCTTCCTCCTCTTCTTCATCTTCCTCCTCTTCATCCTCTTCCTCACCCTCTGGCCAAGGAGACACAAAAGCAACATCAGGAAAGATCCAACAAGACAGAAGGTTCATAAATCTCTATGGGTGAGCACCACTTCCAAAGGCAGAACAAATGAATGAACTTGTGCCTGTTTTCTAACAGAAAAGACTGTCAAATGCATTACTGGGACAAAATGTTACTTTGCTTCCTAATAGAATATAAAAAAGCATGTGCATGTGTACAAATACCTGAGTATACGTAACTATAGTGCTTTCTGCTCAACTAATTACATCTAAAGTGAGAACTGTTTCCCTGATTTCCAATCCTGGAGGCAGCAATAAGTTGGTTCTATGTTTAACTTTCATTAAGCCTTTCACAACTCTGCAAGGGTGCTGCTTTCCAGCCCAATTAGACTGATATGGCCCCTCCTCCAGAAAAAGTCTCTCACTTTGATACATGCTGACAGATGGGCTCCTAGGTGCAGGGAAACAGTGGTGATGGTAGTGATCCTCAGCAGGTTTATACCAGCACTCCCATCACAACAGATTAACATGAGACAAAGGCCTGACCAAGGAGGACTTAATTCAGTACTGAAGAGAAGACAGCACAGCCTATACTTCATGTGAGAGCAGATAAATGTGACACCAAGGAAATCCCCGTGGATTCTCCACTAGAGCAGTCTATTCCAAAGCTGACCATACAGTTAACAAACTGAGAGAAATATAAAAGCCATATTCCATTGCTAGAATCTAAAATTGCAACACAAGAATGACCGCACCGGATCAAACCAAAGGCCCGTTCTGTCCATGCCCTATTTCTGACCACAACTAGCCACAGATGCTGAAGAAAGACTAGAGCACGGCACATACACAGAGCCAGTCTTCCGACAGTCTCTGTTCCCAGCTTTTAATTATTAAAGACTTCTTGAGCCAGAATTTGCATTCGAGCTATTTAGTATCTACTAATGGAGCTACCTACCATGAAAAGATAGTATCTGGAATAAGCACATGCTTCAAATTTCTCATGGTTAGTTTTTCAAAGCTGAAAAAACCCCCATGATATTTATGCATTTTATCTAATTTACACGAAGCTCTACTCAGCCCTGTATAAAACTCCCTCCTGATGTATACTCACACTGAGAGAGCCCATCACCTTGCATCTGAGCAGCTCATTTAGACCATGTTAAAAACTAACAATCCAGCCAAATCAACATTTGTTTTCTAGATATCCCTTTATGTTGGATTCATACCTCATACAGGTTACAGACACTGCAATAAGACGAAGCAGCTGAGTAGGATACCTGAGGGGCTGCACATATCATACATGCTGAAAGTAAAGCAAGTGATACTTCACTCTTCTTCTTTTCGCTGTGGGATGCAACAGAACTCTGGCACAGCTATTCTCCAAAACACCCAAGAAACAAACTGTTGAACTGTGGAGAAGCTATTTAGTTGGTGGCTATACAACCTGCATGAGATAGGAGAAGCTGGCCTCCTTCCTTTGGCCTCTAATTCACAGACTGGAATGCCTAGAGAAATCAGTGCAAGTCATAAAACCATGGCATTCACTGTGCTGTTAACATGGCATCCCTTTTCTTTCTAATTCAAGGATTTCCTCTGAAACACTGCATGACTTTTCCAGCTCACCAGACAAGACAATCCTGCTTGCCACCTTTCCATTCCAGCAATGCATTTCATACAAATGAGCTGCTATTTGAATTTTGATGTTGTTAGCCCCTTAAATTCCCATTGTATTTTATAGGCAGTTTCTGTCTTATAATGTGCCCATCATTTCAAATCAACATAAGATTTTTCTCTATCAAACTGCATGTTTTCATACAAAATACACAGCTTCTGTAAACCTGAGAATGACACCTGGAGAGTTCTTGCAGGAAACCTATGAAGAAACAAAAAAACTAATTTAGGTCTTTTCCTTTGCTGAGAGCCACACAGCTGTAAACATTTCCAAACCTTACTAGCAAAAAAATCATTAAACAGCTAGCACACAAGACAAGAGGAATATGAAACAGAGGTTTTCCCTAGATGGACTGGGTGAAAAAACAGCCAAGAGAGAACAGGGATTTGATTTTTATCTCTGAAAAACTAGCTTGGGACAAGATTTTTAGAAGCTTCTTAGATTTTTAACAAACCGAATCAAAAGACACCTGCCAGGATTTAGGTTTGAAGCAGCAGATAGCCATCTCTGTAGCTCCAAAGCCTAGCAGGCAGCCAAGCTGAACACCCAAATTGAAAGTGCCAAGACTACTTATCACATCTGATCATCACCAAGCTACATCAATCATCATGCAGCCACAGCATCAAGATATAGTCCTTGAAGCACAACGACTGCAAGGGCAAAAGGCTCTTGTTTCCCCCTCATCTCTAGGCTCATTCCTACTTCTGAAATCAGCTTTTTTTAAACCCCCATCCCAAAATGCCAACATCTTGCCTTGCTGCAAGGTGCAGCGCAGAGCGCCACTTGGTGGTCACAAGGGGGAAGCTACACTTCTAAAACAAAATCAAACTTCACAAATGTTGAATTTCAGAAGCAGAGGCACAACAGGAGCTCAGCAGCCATGGACTGGCTGTACATAATACTTGGTAGTCTCACTAGATGGAAAATGGAAGCAAGCATCACATAGATGAACCTCAGGCTGGAGGTTTTGTGCTTCATGAGAGCCTTTTACAAAAATCACTGTTTCCCTCTTAAATTGGCATTTTTGGGCCTTTCAGAAGCCTCAGCTGCAGCTAAGAAAGAAAGAAACAGAAAATGTTGAAAGCGGCAAGGACTAAAAGTGCAAAGACCATCAGATTCAGAAAGCATTCATATTTTCATGTGCATTTTCAGCCCATTGTGAACTATTTCGTGTATTGTTGAATCGTAGTCATTTACATTGGAAAAGAACTTTAAGATCATTGAGTCCACCCATTAACCTAGCACTGCCAAATTCACCACTAAACCATGTCCCTAAGTGCCACATCTACACCTCTTTTAAACACCTCCAGGGTGTCCACCACTTCCCTGGGCAGCCTGTTCCAATGCTTGAAAAATCCTTTCCATTAAGACATTTTTCCTAATAACCAGTCTAAACCTCCCAGGCATAACTTGAAGCTATTTCCCCTTGTCCTATTGCTTGTTACTTGGGAGAAGAGATCAATCCCCACCTCACTACACCCTCCTTTCATGTATTTGTAGAGAGCAATAAGGTCATCCCAGGCCCGCTTTTCTCCAGGCTAAACAACTGCAGTTCCCTCAAACTATATGTACTCTTCAGTTTTGGCTAAGGTTCATCTTATAAGAAAAGAGAAAAACATGATGAAATGCTAGTGCTTTATGATCAAGACACTATTCTCCAATTAAAAAAAAAAGCAAGTATAGCATTTTCTTGGCCATAGAATCTATCCAAATCAGGCATTCAACTAAACCCCAGCTGTAGGAACACTTCTAAATGTCTGAAAGTATGCAAAAGTGCCACTTGCTTGCTGAAGCAGACAGGTACACAGGACATACAGCAGCTTCTGCTGTGAGCCACCCTTGCTCTATAGCTCTTCATATGTTACAAATAAGCTGATTTTACTATTCTGTTTGTATGCATCAAACCCCAGCTCTTGCTTGTGAAATGCCATGCAGACCTATCAAGAAGGGACGGTATCCTGTCTCCTCTCCCAGTGACACCAGGAGACTTCAGCACTGAAACACAAACATCTCTATGGACTATATTTTCTACTGCAGTTAAGAGTAGCAAAAGAGTAGCCTAGGGCAGTTGAAGTCTCAGATCCAAGAGAGAAGAAATCCAAAATCTGACACTTTTTGGCAGGCTAAACAAGTACTGTTTTCTGTAAAGTAGGCTCTGCTTTGCCTTCACCGATACAGAAAAGCAAAAAAACCTAGGAAACTTAACACCTCCCTGCAGTTACAACCATCCAACCTAAGAAAGATCAGGAATCCGCAGGAAAATTAGATTCCCAGTTCACATGCCAAATATTTTAGTTTTGAAGGGCTTGACAACAGGCATTCAAATTTTAGTATTTGGAGAAGCTATAGGAGAGCACCAAGAAAAAAAAAAAAGTAACAGTTTCAGTGGAAGTTTTTGGCATTCCCAGCTTTATAAATAGTCACCAGAAACATCTGTGGTTGGGCTTTATCATGGGACTCCGTACTGATCCATTAGCAACACTGGAGATTGTAAGACAAAACTTGGAGCTCTCATTTTCTCTATCCTTTCCTTTCCCAGCCTACCTCAAATCAAACTCAGAGAACAATGACGTCTAGACAGTAACACAGAGCATTGTTATGCTTCATGATAGTCTAAGCTGTGATTTTATAGGGTACACAGCACTATAGGGCCTGAGTGCTTAGGAGCACCTGATAAATTCCAAGTTGTGATTAACCAGCAACTGGCACTAATTGGTTTCCAGTGGTGCACCCATTCTTTGCCTGACTTCAGGGAGACGCACTATGCCAAGACCTCTCCTGCACAAACACCGGGCAAAGGCTTCTGTGAGCTGAGCAATGGCTGCAGAGGCACAGATTTAGCACTTACCTGCATAATGTGCCCATGAAGGAAAGGAGAGAGCTATGAAGCATGATGACTCCCACCTGAACTGTCACACACACTGAGACACAGACCATTAAGCAAAATTCTACTTTTCAGTATTTTTCTTTTCCTCCTGTGTGTACTGGAAGCACTCACAGCGGAACAGGGCAGCAGAGGCAGACTGAAGCTTCTCATCCACCACACACCCCACAGCTTAGCTTCTACTCCCCTCTACTTCACACCCATACATCAGCAAAAGGCCTTGGTCACCCATGTGTGCATATAGCATAGGAAGCAAAGGAATGTAAATAATGACAGGATAAGGGATGGAGGTCTGTGACCATATTCTTTTGCCAGAACAGGAGGAAGAGGCATTAAGAAGTCTCTGCCAAATGCTTTCTTCCACTGGTGTTCATTTTCTGCATGGCTTTTACTATCACATCTGACTGTAAAGGCAGGAAGGCCTTTCTATGACAACTCTCTTTTATTATTAATCT